CAGAAGCTTATACTTGCCAAGCTGGCGCTTGTACCACTGAGCTATCTCCCCAGCCTGTCCTGCCTGTTTTTAGAAGTCTTGTTATTAAAGTGGGCCCAGCTGGATAATCCAACATTCTTTTTTTCGCTTACATGTTTGTTTGTTTGCTTGCTTTTCTTTGTTAAGATAGAAGCTCACTAAGTCAATAAATTGCCTAGTTTGGGATAGATTCTGCAGTTCTCCTGCTTTGGCCTCTCAGAGTGCTGAGATTACAGGCCTATACTACCACTTCTGGCTATCTTCCTGCTTCAAAACCAGCCAGAAATTGCCATTTTCCTAGCTATTTAGCCTGACACACTACCCCTCTTGCGACATCATGGTGGCCTACTGGCAACAGGCTGGACTCAGCTACATTCGCTACTCCCAGATCTGTGCAAAGGCAGCAAGGGATGCCCTGAAGACGGAATTCAGTGCAAATGCAAAGAAGACTGCTGGCAGCAGCATCAAAATTGTGAAAGTGAAGAAAGAATAACCAGCCTTGACTAGAGCTTGAAATGCTACATTTTCACTCTGAAGATGTGTGGGCACATGTTACAACAGATTGTAATCCACATCACTTTGTAAGGGGAAAAAGTACCTATCTGATTCATAAATTAATGATACCAATAAATTGATGCATGGTTAAAAAAAAAAAAAAAAAACAGCCAAAAGGCAGTCTTTACACCTTATAAGCTTACTTTCCAGTGCCATGTTACCAATATATTTACAGACTTCAGGGATTACAGTGTAGACATCTTTGGTGAGGCCGTTGTTTTGTCTGCCACTGTGACCAAAAGTTTTCTCCCATTTTGCTGGCAGGCTGGAAGATTGTTCACATTTTATAGCTAAAGACTTTTTTTTTTAAATGCATTTGGTACAGGGTCTACAGGGACTACAGGGTCTCACTATGTAGATCGGACTTGTAGTGATCCTTCTATTTTCAGCCTCCCAAGTGCTGGGATTAAAGGCATGCACCACCACACCCAATTCCAATCGCCACCTCAGCACACCCCAGGGGGTGGGGGAGCACAACACACTGGGGATTGAACCCCAGCTGCTGTGCTCTGCCTAAGCAGATGCTTTAGTCCACTGAGCTAGCTTGCCAGCCCTTACAGTTAAAGATTTTAATGTTCAAGATCTTCACTGCTTAGGTTGGAAAACTTTAGTTACGGGTCAACTATGGGACTCTGGAGTCACTTGTCTTCGAAGCTGGGCTGCTCACATATAGTCTCAGGGAAGATTGATGGGCCACAGAGCCCTGGCACCATGTGGCACCACCTTATGTATCCACGTGGTTCTCCTGGCACTACTGCTTGGCAGACCCAGCCTGGCTCCTCCTGCTCATGCAGCCAGCGTAAGTCTATATAGTTGCTCTGAGTTCCCTGGATAAGAGGTTAACTTGAACTGAGGCCCCTGCGTGATGGTTTCAGGCAGCTTGGAGTACCAGGGAGGTGATGCACAACACAAAGGACCAGCACCCTCGTTATATGTTTCTGTGGAGAACAGTCTGACCTTGCCTCCCCACACAACCCTTGAGTCACACAGTCAAGGGGAAGTGGCCAGCCAGCGAGTGTCCCCAACTCTCATTATGAGGCAAACATGATTTTGATACTCAAACTTCCCAAGGACGCCATGAACTGTGAAACTAATGCACCTATCTCAGAAACGCAAAGGCAGCAATCCTACATGAACACCACAGCAGGTGATGGTTGAGGATGTAGTCCAACGGTAGAGTGCTTGCTGGTATGTACGAGGCCCTGGCTTCAGCCCCAGTAACAAAGGGAATGGGAGCAACAGTAGGAAAGAGAGAGAGAGAGAGAGAGAGAGAGAGAGAG